AAATTAGGGAAAAAATAAACAGGGGGCTAATAATTTAGGGGGGCTAACAATTCTGACTTCAACTGTATATATATCAATATCTATATATATATATATATATATATATATATATATATATATATATATATATATATATATATATATATATATATATATATATATATATGCGTGTCTGTGTGTGTATGTAAAATTTGGCCCGCGACAACGTTTTTTTTTTTTTTTTTTTGCATCTGGCCCTCGGCCCAAAAAGTTTGGACACCCCTGTCTTAGCTGAAGCATCACACAGTGATGATCAACACAGTGTCCAAAATATTGTTGTTCTAACCAGCACACACTGGTTACGGAAAATATTCAGAGCCCCTTACATTATTCACTGTTTGTTCTATTGCAGCCATTTACTAAAATCATTTTTCCTCATTAATGTACACACAGCACATTGACAGTAAAACACAGAATTGTTGACCTTTTTGCAGATTCATTAACAAAAGAAAAACTGTATCATGTCCGTAGTATTCAGACCTTTTGCTGTGACACTCATTTACCTCAGGTTGTCGTGGATCAGGGTTGACCCTACTTATTTTTTTCCTTACCTTGCCCTGCTCTCAGCTGTTAGTCCTTGAGATCAGCGCATGTGCAAGAAAGATGAATGTATACATTTGCATGAAAAAATAATACAGTTTATGCATGGTTAGTATGTTTTAGGCAAATAAAAGTCACAGAAACAAAGCTAACACTCGCACCAAATGTCCCTAAATAAGACATTTGAAAAAAAAACTAAAATATTTACAACAAAATCATGTGAAAAGACTGAAAAAATTAGGAAATATGAGAAGATTCGAAGATTAAACAGTTTTATTGTAAATGTTAATAACAGTTCACAGTGTACATATTTTAGGGGAAAACAAGAGTATGAACGCAACCAATAATCACTGATAGATATCACCTTCATCATGGCCGTGTAAAATATACGGCCAAAACACTGCTACATACCACTGATGCTTGCAAATTAATGCTGATAATTTATATGTATACAGTTAGAATAAAAGTCCTCTTTTTCCTTGCTCCTGGATGCCTGTTATGCAGCATTGAAGCTTTACACCAGGGATGTCAAACTCAATTCCTGGAGGGCCGCAGCCCTGCACAGTTTAGTTCCAACCCTGCTTCAACACACTTACTGACTTAATTAGTTTGATCAGGTGTGCTTAATTAGGGTTGGACCTAAACTGTCCAGAGCTGCGGCCCTTTATAGATACATACACTAGATATTGCATACGGACCCTGAGCATGCGTCAATAGCGCCGCCATATTTGTACAGTGCTCCAGGAAAAGTATCATTCAACCGCACCAGTCAAGACAGGGTTACTATGTGAAGATGCTGGACTTTAGCGCTGTCTATGGGTGTAGTAACGAGCAAACAAAGAAAACAAAGCACAAAGGCAGAACATTTCATAGGTAAGGTTTCATTTTTTACGTTTTTGAATGTTATGAACTTTTGTTTCAAACAGGTAACGTTATTGATGATATTACAGTCACTTTCTGCATTCACCATAAGGCAAAGGAGCACCAACTCGCACTTAATACTGGGCTTATGCTAGTTTTATTGAATAAAATCCGCAAACAATGCGAAAGAAATATGACAACGAGATGCTGCAGTGCCAGAATCTTGTATTATGTTCAGCTAGCGAAGGAGTCGTTTATAACGGAGATTCATTCACAAACGAATCGCTCCCTCTCTCAGTATGAGAAGTGAAAGCAGGAGAGGGGCTGTGTTTCAGGACACAGATCAAATTAAACAGGGAGGGTGGATAGTACACTTCCATACACACAAACACAAGCTTTGTCAGGAATGCTTGCGTGATCACTTATCCATCAAAGTAGAAAAGTGATGTGAAATTATAAGTTTTGTAAATTTAAAAAAAAAAATGCATACTGACCTCCGGGAAAACTCCCGATCATAGATATATGTGTATATCTCTGGCTCTGGATGGCCACAGTCCTCCACTGCAGCTAGGTCATGCATTGATTTCAAAGGCACTACCCTGTACTAAAATGGCGGCTCCAATGAAGCATTCCTTCCAATAGACAACAACAGGGTAGGCGGCATCTAATGTAAATATCTCTGGCGGCCCTTTAGGAATTGAGTTTGACATCCCTGCTTTACATGATCTTATATCAGATGTGCTGAAGCTGAAGTAATATAAAAATCTTATTTTTGTTACAGTCATACTGGACTCTAGATCAGTGGTTGCCAAAGTTGGGGGAACTTTTTGTGCTCTTTTACGTTTTACGTCCTTTTGTATGGGAATAGCAGCAAGAGGCGGACTGCTTACAGCTAATCTTAGAAAATGAGGGTTAAACAGAAAATTGCGCATCTCCTTGCTTTTCTACATATTAAATAAACTGAGAATATTTGCGCTACAGTTATACTGTAGACTGTAAACTGTAGTTTTTAAATATGCATTGACACTTGACAAAATAGATATAACAAAATGATAAAAATAGATTTCTTTTGCTCTGACTTCAAAAAAGACTTGTATCGCCCGCGGTATGGTTGACCTTAGAGAGTTAAAATGTCAATAAATAGTAGTTATGCTGCTGTAGGATTAATTGACAATTTAAAGAATTTTTAATGACAAATTCAAGCTGTTCCACTGTAAAAAGTTATCAGGAAAATATTCTTGACATTTATAATGGCCTTAATGACAATAATGTTTATTACAGATTTATGACAAAGTGCAGTTTGCACTATTTTGTTCTCTCTATATTGGAAGTTCATATCACTAAGATAAATTCCTCTCTCAAGGCTATTTCTGATACTGAAGACAAGTTATGTTGTCTTGATTATGTCATAAAAAAGACAGGATTTTGATATGGTAGTGACCATCTACGTCCTTTTCCATTCTTTTCCCAATCATGTGAGCTTCATTTAATAGCATTGTTTTGTTGATTCAGTACCAGTACCATTACGCAGGTGTCAACCTTCCTGGAGGGCCGCAGCTCTGTTCAGTTTAGTTCCAACCCTAATTAAACATGCGGTTTTATGACGTGGAAAGAAGAGCGTGTGTGGAGACGCTGACACGGTAAACAACAACAACAGAGGAAACATAGAGGAGGAAAGTGGTCAGTCGCCACAATCTCCTCGTACCCACAAATTCCTGTGAATAGTGGAGGACACCATATAAAAACCATAGGCGCAAGCTGTGATGACTGCCCTCTCTCTTCTACTTTGACTCCACCTCGAAATCATTTTAAAGTTGGGTGAACTACATTTATTTCGCAGAGATAAATGCGGGGCGTTTTACTGATCCCCCTCCTCCCCCGTCCGCTGTTCACTTTATACCACGACTTCCCAACCCTATTTACTTTCGTCCGTGACAACCCCCGACCCCCAACAACTCATAACTAGCGTAAGCTGCGACATCCCTCCACCATCCAAAGCCCTGCTATCCCCTCTTCCCCCTGCTCTCCACTTCCACTTCCACTTCGATGTCCACGTGCATGACACCTCTACATCCTCGGGTAACATGCCACATCTGTTACCTCGATCTGTTCCGGAACCGTGCAATTCACAAAATAAGCACTGGCTAAATGCATGACAATTTCTTTGAGTATGGTGAAGAACGGTTCCAGAAAGCAGGTAAGACAAAAACAGAACGCAAAAAATTTCATAAACAATAAAATAACAGGGTTAAAATGTGGTAAAATCAGACGAAGGCTTTTCTTTTACTGGATTGCTTTAGAAAATTGTTGGTAGGGTTTACGAAAGTGGGTGAGCGGGTCAATCGATGAGGGAAGGAGGAGGGTGGGTCAGTGGATTGGTCAGTCAGTCAGTCAACAGTGGCCTCTGGTGGGTTTACGCGGGAACAGCAGGGGCGAATGGCACTCGAGAGAGGAATTTAAAATCTCAAAAAGCATACACGGCGGCCTCTCATGCATTCGCGAAAACAAAAACTGAAAAAAGTACCCCCTAGGATGTATTTCGAGGTCTTCAGAAATGTATATAGAGGTACGTTTTCAGAATGAGCCTGGGTTGCATGAATTAGATATGGGTCACATTTAAAGGAAGATGTAAATATACAGACAAAAAAATCAGATACAGACAACAAATAGGAATTGGGCATCAAGACCTGACAGTGTAAACGGGACCGAATTTGTTTTTTGATCACATGATTAAGGAAGGGATGAAAAAGAGATTCAAAACCCTCTCTAAAGCCACGGTAACACCATACTTTTTACCCCATAGTCTTCCATTTGGCAGGTCAGAGTTCACCAAGCTTGAACTTTGCAACGCAGCGAACTGCAAAATTGCATCACGTGTTTGCTTGAGACCAATAGAAGATCAAAACATGATCCTTCTGTACAGAAATGTATAACATGGACCAATCGCTCGCTTTTTAAAATGTCTAATCAACTTATTTAATCCTGCCCCTTTTTGCAGCACTGCACGACAGAATTTCGCATGCTTCAAATCTAGTGTGACCAGGGTATAACGTTTATAAATTTACAGTCGAAGTCAGAATTATTAGGCTGAAATATTAGCTTCCCTGTTTATTTTTTTCCCCAATTTCTAAACATAATAGTTTTTATATTTAATTTCTAATAACTGATTTATTTATACTGCCATGATAACAGTTAATATCATTTGACTAGATATTCTTCAAGACACTTCTATACACCTTAAACATTTAAAGGCTTAACTGGTTTCATTAGGTCAACTAGGCAGGTTCGAGTAATTAGAGCAAGTTATTGTATATCAATGGTTTGTTCTGTTGTGGGAAAAAAAAACAAAAAAAAAAACAAATATATATATATATATATATATATATATATATATATATATATATATATATATACCTTAAAGGGGCTTATAATTTTGTCCTTAAAATGGTGTTTAAAAAAATCAAAAACTGCTTTTATTTTTGCCGAAATAAAACAAATAAGACTTTCTCCAGAAGAAAGAATATTGTCAGACATACTGTGAACATTTCCTTGCTCTGTTAAACATAATTTGGAAAATATTCAAAAAATAAAATAAAATCAAAGGGGGCTAATAATTCTGATTTCAACTGTAGATGTCTCGGTCCATTTGATATTGTGTTTTATCACTTCATACATTTATTTTATGCTAATTCAGTTGTAACAAAAAACATTTTAAAGAATTCTGTAAAATACTGTTAAACACTTTAACTGCTCCATATTGCAAAAGATATACATTCCCACAAAAGCAACGCTCCCCCACATATTTCGCTGTAACTGCATTTTTTTCAGCTGTTGGTATAAGATTGCAGAAGTTGGTTTAGACTGGAAATGTGCAGTTTTTACACCATCATGCTGATAACGTTTAGCCTTTCAGCAATACTACAGCTCGAACAACTGCGGTAAATCACCAACTCAGATTTCCATTCATGGTTTCATGAGAAACTTATAAGCTCACCAATGCATATACAATCATTTATACAAACGTTTTTGACACTAATACAGTGTTAAACTGTATATGGCTTCTCTGTGAAACCTTGTTTCTAGAATCATAATTTTTAGCTGTGCAAGTCAGGGGAAAAGTCAGTTCCAGGTCAACTTTACTTTAAAGCAGTGACTCATTTGATTTTTAGAGCCGTGGTGGACTTATTAAAAAACATCCATGTGGTGTGACCTACTTTGGCTTAACCCCCTTTTCTGCATTTTCCTGTGCAAGGAAACCACGACTTGATCTGTGGTTTTAAAACATCAATATCAGTTTTTTTCATCTTTCAGACAACCATCGCACAAGACATTCTTCCTCCTACAGGTTGCTGATACTCAGCCCAGTGCCTACCGAAGGCCTCCTGTTTTCTTGATTTACAGAAGTCAATTTCTACAGGAGTGACTCTCTAAATATCCGGCACATAAAGAAGTAGATGACAGGATCCAGGCAGACGTTGAGGGCGGACAGAAAGAGCGTAGCTTCTTTGATCTGGAAGAGAACGTAGCGGTCTTGTGGCTGATATCCGGAATTGGATCTTTGACTCATAGTGTAAGGAACACGGCACACGTGATAAGGCACAAAACAGATGATAAACACAGCCAGCAAGCTAAAGATGCTCTGATTTGACCTCCGTCCCGCTGCGCTGCTGTCCCGTTGCACGCGTTTATAGGAGCGATACACATGGCAAGCGATGGATGTGTAGCAAAACACCATCAGCAGAAACGCCACCCAGAAGATCCCGACATTGAAGTGGGCTGAAACTACATGCCAGTTCCGACCCAGCTCACTCTTCAGGGCCATGCAGGAAAAAACCTTAGGCATGGGCTGGTTGCTTAATATGGTGTTGGGCAGCGAGAAGAATATCATGATTCCCCATGCTAACAGCGCGAGAGCCTTCGCCACCCAAACGCGCTGGAGAAACGACGACACTCTGGAGGAGCTGCAGACTATTTTAAAGTACCGTTCCAAGCTGATGAGGCTCATGAAGGCTATTCCAGTGTACATGCTGAGGTAGAAAAGCACAGCCGTGTAACGGCAAACTATTAGCTTCAGCTGGAAGCCACCATAACCGAGGTCGCCCACTACACGCCACGGGTAGGAAAACAGCATTAGTACATCCGCCACCACCATGTTTTTTAGGTAAACCACTAAGGCAGAAGAGCTGGGAAGTCTGAAGAAGATCCACGCGGCGAGTCCATTGAGAATCAACGCACAAACGCAGATGATGGTGTAGAGCACTGGCAGAACCTCATTTGTGAACACACTGCTCACTTTAGTGACGTTCGCCGGTTGTGTACTGTTGTCCATATCTAAAACAGAAAATGAAAGAACATTTTCAGTGCTTGGTACAGTGGGAAACAGGGCTTGGCATTAACTTTTTTAATCACCAGTCACTGTGGCTAGTAGTTTTCCAACGTTACTAGCCATTTTCACAAGACACAATATTGTTGTTGTAAAAAAATATATTTTATATGCATAAATTTGACATTGGCATGTTAAAATAATTTGATTTTGTGTTATAAAGGTTGTTGGTCTCATTCATTTACTGTTTTGTGTGTTTTGTATGACCTTTTTCAATGCGCATAAGCAAATGGTTTGTGTTTTTTTACATGACACATTTTTTTTTTTTTTTAGAACTTTCTTTATTGTTTTTTTTTATTTTATAACACAACAACTTACATCTTTGGTCTAACAAACATTCACACCGCAATTGACAATAAAGCATGTAATATACCAACAATCCATATATAAATGTTGTAATGATAGATTAATTCAAAAGATTAATAATAATAATAATAATAATAATAATAATAAAAATGAAAAAAAAAATAATAATAAATAGAAAAAATATATATAATAAATTTGAATTAAATTGAAGTTACAAAAAGGAAACAAATAATAAAAACAATATTAAATAATAAATAAGAGTAAAGAAAAGTAAAAAAAATAATACTCTTCTGTTTTTAAACTAAATTGGTCTGATCCTCTTCAATTTGACTATTTCTTGTTGAATTTATGTCTTTAAAGTAAGCCATGAAAGGTTGCCAGATTCTATAGAATTTGTCTTCTTTCTTTTTTAGGGAGAATCTGATTTTCTCTAGTTCCATACGTTTCATTACATCTCTCATAAGATGTATATATGTAGGAGCGGCTCTCTGTTTCCAGTGTAATAATATTAATCTTCGTGCTGGTAGACAGACAAATGAAACTATATTTTGTTCAGTACTATTTTTAGTAAATTATTTGTTTATTATATATATATATATATATATATATATATATATATATATATATATATATATATATATATATATATATATATATACACACACACACACACAGTTGAAGTCAGAATAATTAACCCCCCTTTGAATTTTCTTTTCTTTTTTTAATATTTCCTAAGTGATGTTTAACTAAATTTTCACAGTATGTCTGACAATATTTTTTTCTTCTAGGGAAAGTCTTATTTGCTTAATTTCGGCTAGAATAAAGGCAGTTTTATTATTATTTTTAAAAACAATTTTAAGGTTAAAATTATTAGCCCCTTTAAGCTATATTTTTTCGATAGTCTACAGCAGGGGTTCCTAAACTTTTCAACCCGCGACCCCCAAAATGACAATGCCAGTGACTCGCGACCCCCAATATCCTCTGAGGTGGTTATAAATACAGAAACCTTGCATGCAATGGCGCGCACACACCAATAGACCCAAGTCTATTCTTTGTTTAATTTGTTTTTCCATGTATGTCAGTGCGGTGAATGTGTCAGAAAGTTACCTGGTGTTATAAAATCAATCTGCTGCGTCTGATGCTGTTGCTGTGTCTTCGAACCCAATAAAACTAGCAACTATTAGCTACTATAGTAACTATATAGTAACTATAAACATTTTTTTTTTCTCTTCAGTAGGTTATGGATAAAATATGGTAATTCCTATGGTTTAATAAAAATAAATAGATTTTTGGAAATCACCAGGTGACCCTACTTCATTGTCCCCCGATCCCTCGGGGGGTCCTGACCCCCACTTTGAGAACCACTGGTCTACAGAACAAACCATCATTATACAATAGCTTGCCTAATTACCCTAACCTGCCTAGTTAACCTAATTAACCTAGTTAAGCCTTAAAAAAATCACTTTAAGCTGTATAGAAGTGTCTTGAAAAATATCTAGTTAAATATTAATTACTGTCATCATGGCAAAGATAAAATAAATCAGTTATTAGAAATTAGTTTTTAAAACTATTATGTTTAAAAATGTGTTGAAAAAATCTCAGACATTGGGGAAAAAAATAAACAGGGGGCTAATAATTTAGGGGGGTTAATAATTCTGACCATATATATATATATATATATATACACACATTCTACCTGACGAAAGTCTTGTCACCTATCCAAGTTTTAGGAACAACAAATAATACATTGACTTCTCGCTGCTGATCATTTGGTATCAGAAGTGGCTTATATGAAAGGCAAAGGGGTGAGTTCATCTCAGAGTTCATCAAGATTCTTTTGGATTCATATTTAAGGCCTCCTCTTTCATCTTACCCCAGACATGCTCAATAATGTTCATGTCTGGTGACTGGGCTGTCCAATCCTGGAGCACCTTGACCTTCTTTGCTTTCAGCAACATTGATGTGGAGGCTGAAGTATGAGAAGGAGCGCTATCCTGCTGAAGAATTTGCCCTCTGCTGTGGTTTGTAACGTAATGGGCAGCACAAATGTCTTGATACCTCAGGCTGTTGATGTTGCCGTCCACTCTGCAGATCTCTCGCACAGCCCCATACTGACTGTTACCCCAAACCATGATGTTTTCTTTCACCAAACTGCCACTTTTCCAAATGATCAATTATAAGTCAAGTTATTATTTGTTGCTCTTTCAACTGGGATCCACGACAAGACTTTTGTTAGGCATATATATATATATATATATATATATATATATATATATATATATATATATATATATATATATATATATATATATGTATACAAACCTCCAGCGCTAAATTAGCCAGTGTTTCAGTTTTATTGTTTAGCCCTGGTGTATATATATATAAATACACACACACACACACAGATACACACTTAACAGGAAATGTAACACTCACAATGCTTTCAGAATAATAGAATTGAATAATTTTATTTTGGAATCAAGATTATTTAAAAAATATGAACGATTACACTATTATAACTATTATACTAGAATTTATAAAATAGAAATATTCAATACCCAAAAATTCCAATTCTGTTATAATTTTCTCAACAACAACATCTGTTCCTAAACCTGCATGACTCATGCAACACTAATAATAATAATGGAGAAGTTGTGGCCTAGTTTGGTTGGTTTCATTAACAAGGTTTAATAGTGAGTATTCTACTCAGTATTTTGCTTTGGAATCAATAAAATTGATAACAAGTAATAATAATAGAAATGTCATGTACTGCCAGTCACCATTTTATTTTATTTTATTGACCTCATTCTACTATGCGGAAGTGTGAGCTTTTCTGTAATTGTTTCAGAACTTCCAGTTAATTTGACTAACGGGAAATGAACAGCAGAAAACAACTTGCTCTACAAACAATTGTGTTTATGACAATACATAAAAATAACAAATAAATGAAGGTGCTGCATGGTGGCTGTCAGCAAGCTAACTCGCCTCATAGCAAGAAGGTTGTTGGTTCGAGTCCCGGCTGAATTAGGAGGTCTTTTCAAATGGGAGAGTGTGAGAGTATGTGTGTGTTTCCCAGCACTGAGGGTTGTACTCTCATTGTTGGGTTGTAGCTGGAAAGGCTGTCAAATGTATACCCAAGGAAATTAGTGCTTCATTCCACTGTGGCAACACAATCTCACGACAATTCCTAACTTTTTGCTTTAATTGCTAGTTTGTATGAATTTGAACGATCTCTTACGTACAATTTAGTATGATCTGCTTATTCCCCAATGACGGTTGGGTTTAGGTGTTGGGTGCTACTCCTTTTTAAATTGTACATTTTTGTATGGCTGATCTCATACGAATTAGCCACTAATCTGACAATTTCCACATGAGATCAGGCTAGATAATCAGGGACTAAGCTGAAGGAAAGGGATTGAGAAAATGCAAGTTTACAGCATAAGCTGTTTATTACAGTTCAAAATCAATGGAAGTCAATAAGATTCCAATAGCTGTGCTTACACACGAAAGAATAGTCATCAAAGAAAGGAAAAAATACTTATGTGGAAGTAAATGGTGACTTAGACTTTCAGAACTGAAGAGAAAGCCAGATTAGTCACATTTTATTTTAAGGTAAAACTCACACAATAAGCCAACCATTGACAGTGACTTTTAGCTCAATAAGCTTCTAATTAGCTGATTATAAAAATTAGGTTTATGTTATAGGTAGGGTTATGGATGTAGAATAAAATCAAACTTTTTAAGTACTAATAAACAGCCAGTATCTTAATAATCAGGTAATTCGCTAGTAGTTAATAGTGGCAAATGCTATTTAAACTAAACAGTTAACACCTTAATAATAGGCACCTTAATAAGCCAGTAGTAAATGGTGTGAATTGTTACTGAAACTAAAACGATACCGTATTATTATATACATTCATAGAAACACATTAATTTATGTCCATCTATCATTAACTACTACACTTAATTTTCCATCAGATATGGCCCATAACGGCCTTTTTCAATCAAAATTCTGCCATAACATGGTGTCATCAAACATTTCAAGCCAAATTCTAAATAGGCTTTTTTTTAAGGTACAATTCCCACAATTAACAAACAATTAACGGTGACTTTCAGCTCAATAAACTTCAAATTTGCTGACTATTAATAGTTAGTAAGGTAATAGCTGGGTTTTGGTATTGGGCAGGGTTTATGGATGCGATCATACTTGATAAGTGCTAATAAACGGCTAATATCTTATTTATAAGCAGGTAGTACGCTAGTAGTTAATAGTGGTGAGTGCTATTTAAACTAAACAGTTAATATCTTAATAGTATGCAGGTAATAAGCCAATAGTAAATGGTGTGAACACTTATGTGGAAGTAAATGGTGACTAAGACTTTCAGAACTGAAGAGAGAGCCAGATTAGTCACACTTTATTTTAAGGTAAAATTCTCACAATAAACAAACCATTAATGGTGACTTTTAGCTCAGTAAGGTAATTTAGGTATTGGGTAGGATTATAGATGTAGAGTAAAATCATACTTGATAAGTGCTAATAAACAGCCAGTATCTTAATAATAAACATGTAATAAGCTAGTAGTTAATAGTGGGAAATGCTATTTAAACTAAACATTTAATAGCTTAATAATAGGCAGGTAATAAGCCAATAGTAAATGCTGTAAATTGTTACGAAAACTAAAGCGTTACTATATTACTATTTACATTCATAGAATTACATTTTATGTCCATCTTCTCTCTTTTTACATCAGATATAACACATAATGGCCTATTTAAATCAAAACGTCTGCCATAACATGGTGTCGATAAACATTTCATGTTACATTCTAAATATTCAGGCTTTATTTTAGGGTACAATTCCCACAATTAACAAACCATTAACGGTGACTTTTAGCTCAATAAACTTCACATTTGCTGATCATTAATAGTTAGCAAGGTAATAGCTAAGTTTTGGTTTTGGGCAGGATTATGGATGTAGAACAAGATTATACTTGATAAACGCGAATAAACAGCTAATATCTTAATAATAGGCAGGTAATAAGCTAGTAGTTAATAGTGGGAAATGCTATTTAAAATAAACATTTAATATCCTAATAATAGGCAGGTAATAAGCCAGTAGTAAATGCTATAAATTGTTAATTAAACTAAAGCGTTACTATATTACTATTTACATTCATAGAAAACATTTTATGTCCATCTTCCCTCTTTTTCCATCAGATATAGCACATAACGGCCTATTTCAATCATTTTAAAATTTTGACATAACATGGTGTCGACAAACATTTCAAGCTAAATAGTCAGGCTTCATTTTAAGGTAAATTCGTACTATTAACAAATCAATAACAGTGACTTTTAATTAACTAATAATAGTAAGGTAATAGCTGAGTTTTGGTATTGGGCAGGATTATGGATCATACTTGATAAGTGCTAATAAACAGCTAAAATCTTTTTAATAAGCAGGTAGTACGCTAGTAGTTAATAGTGGCGAGTGCTATTTAAACTAAACAGGTAATATCTTAATAGTATGCAGGTAATAAGCCAATAGTAAATGGTATGAACACTTATGTGGAAGTAAATGGTGACTAAGACTTTCAGAACTGAAGAGAGAGCCAGATTAGTCACACTTTATTTTAAGGTAAAATTCTCACAATTAACAAACCATTAACTATGACTTAGTTCAATAAACTTCTAATTTGCTGATTATTAATACGTTAATAAGGTAGTAGTTTTGGTTTTAGGTAGGAATATAGATCATACCTTGTAAGTGCTAATAAACAGCCAGTATCTTAATAATAAGCAGGTAATAAGCCAGTAGTAAATGCTGCAAATTGATACTTAAACTAAAGTGTTACTGCATTATTATTTACATTAATAGAAATATGTTTATTTTATGTCCATCTATCATAACTATAATATCATAACTATTATACTTCCTTTTCCATCAGATGACATAAATTGACTTCAAGAGCCTATATAAATCACAAACTCCCCCTATAACATGATGTCATCAAACATTTCACACCACATAATAATTAGCTTAATCTCATATTGGGTTATCGAAAACAACAAAACAATTGATTAACATATTGGTCATAAAAAAACACTTACTTGAAGAGTTGAGTCAGCTCATATCATGACAGAGAATGAGAATTTGCCAGTTGGAGAAACAAGCCTCATGTGATGTTTCAGAGGAAGGAGGCGTTGATTTTGAGACAGGAACTACAAGATTCAGCTCAGCTGGTCTCGTGGGTGGACACTTGCTCAGCACCACAAGAGCTTCCTCCAACAACATGTCTGAACACAAAACCGTTTCCTCCTCCCAGTCACTCGACACACGCCAGATTGTTTATTAGAGTCGTTAAAGGCAATTTCAATTTCATAAGTGATGTATTGTTCAGATGCATTAGCAAAACAGAAGAATGAATCAACTTTTCTCAAGGTGTGCAAAAAGCGTAGAAGTTTTCAAAAGGTACAAAAAAAATTACACAATAAGACAATATTTTTATGATTAGTAGTAACAAACATATTGGTGAAAAACTTAACGTAGTGCTTTTGTGAGAATAATTTACACATATATTTTACTTTCAGGGGCGAAGCAGTGGCGCAGTAGGTAGTGCTGTCACCTCACAGCAAGAAGGTCGCTGGTTAGAGCCTCGGTTCAGTTGGCGTTTCTGTATGGAGTTTGCATGTTCTCCCTGCGTTTGCGTGGGTTTCCTCCGGGTGCTCCGGTTTCCCCCACAGTCCAAAGACATGCGGTACAGGTGAATTGGGTAGGCTAAATTGTCCGTAGTGTATGAGTGTGTGTCGATGTTTCCCAGAGATGGGTTTCGGCTTCAAGGGCATCCGCTGCATAAAACTTGCTGGATAAGTTTGCGGTTCATTCCACTGTGGCGACCCCGGATTAATAAAGAGACTAAGCCGACAAAAAAATGAATGAATGAATGAATTTTACTGTCATTTTACTCAACATGGATCCATGATTGCGTCTGAAATCGCCTGCTTCTCAGTAGGTACTGCATTTGAATGTACTACTCAACTGTTAGAGAAGTACGCTCTATACAGTGGCTGCCACTCAACATGCGTTCTTCAGCAATCTTGCGTCCTCGTGTTTTCGTGTAACATCATCATCAACTGCCGAAGTTCAGTTCCAAAACTCAAGAACGGAGGACGCGTGAAAGTTCCCGGATGTGTTCTTGGTATCGAGGACGCACCGATGCATATTTGAATGAAAAAACTCGCTGGAAAATTCCCAGAAGTCATCGCGACTGGAGGTGAAGAGCTCAGCAATTTTATATAGATTTATTATTTACGTTCAGAGATATCACTTATTTATCTCAGGAGTTTCCCTAAACGACACGGTGAAAGTAAACATTACCATGAACATCTTAATAAAGGCATAAACACACTAAAGTCATTTATTAGATGAAATTCATATAATTTCTTTTTTTTTTATTGTGCAAAGTACGTTTTTTTTTTGTTGTTGCAGTTTTTGTTTTCACAAATCTACCAGAGGCCGCTGTCTATGCTTTTTAAGATGTAAAAATTTTCTTACGAGTGCCATTCATGCCTGCTCTTCTCAATATATATCCACCAGAGGCTGCTGTCGACTGACTGACTGCCCAACAGACTGATCACCTTAACCACCAGTGTTGCAAACCTAGTGACTTTGTCGCTATATTTAGCAACTTTTCAGTCTTCTCCTAGAGTCAAATAAAAAAAAAAAAAAGCTACTAGCGATAAATCTAGCTACTTTTTTGTGTGTTACTGGAGATTTTGTATAGACTCTCATGTGTTCATACATCACACTCCCTACTCTTCTTAACGAGCTGTGGGTGGCCCAGTCAGTCCTCGCACAGCAGTCTCTCCCAACTGCGTACCGACGGCAAATGATTTAGCACCGGCAGTGTGAAGGTATTTCCCTTGTACAGTCAAACCGATCTGCTTCTCCTTTATTTCAACAATTTAATTTGTTTATTCGTTTATGCTTTTCTTGTTCACGATCGAAGATAATTTAGTGACAATTTCAGAACTTGTCTGAGTTTATTACATGTGGGAGATTACTGCAAATTCACTACATATCTATACTGATATACTGTATTCAAACAGCAACAAAGCGTAGTGCAAATATAAATACCCTTTTATAACCAGAGGCTGTTAAACAAACAGAAATGATAGAACATGATGATGTCACCAATATGCAAATTAACGTATGATGCAATCTAGTGAGTTTCTCGGACAGAGCTCAGCGCCTTTTCATTGAAAATAGTTGGCAGCAGTGCTACCCACCCCCTTCCCTGTTTTGAAAAGCAATCCAGACAAAGCCCCCTGAGTTTTACCACATTTTCAGTTTTAACCATATTCTTACCCTGTTATTTACTAGATTATTTAATCTTTGGCTTTTGTTTTTGTCTTACCTGCTTTCTGGAACTGTTCTTCCCCGAGTTGAACATTGTAGACACGGTCACCTCCGCTCTGCATCTCAAGTCCACCAGTGTACGCCAGTGGACAAACTGGTAACAACGGCAAAGTCGTCCATATGGAGGTAAGATGGTCACCTGCTAGCATTTTACAATGATTTCTAAAGATTAAGGACTTAAAAATCTTTTAATTCATTGTAAAAAAAAAACAATATAATTCAGCATTGTGATTTTGTTTCTACAGTATTACTGTATGTTTGGTCAAATAGGTTCAGGACTGGCGAGCAGTCAAAAACTACATATACAATAGCATATATCTATATTTTATACATAACATTTTTCAACAGAACTATGTATAAAATATTGTAGAGAATTTATTCTTTCAAAAATGTAGCTTTTTGTTAATTACAGACAAATAAAAAAATCATATTTTTTACTAACAATAAAATAAGATTTCAACTTAAAATGCAATTTACATTTTAATTTTACTCTTATTTTAAACAGTACACATTACATTAAAGCATTTATTTGCAAGGTATTTTTGTTAAAGTGATAGTGTCCCCAAAAATGACTTAATTAATGTAGTGTACATTTATAAGTTTTTTGTTTTCTGTTGAAGACTAAAAAAGATATGTTGAAGATTTGGATAAACTATTGACTTATATAGTAACACATATGGAAGACAATAAACAGTTTCCAACATTTTTCTAAATGTCTTTTAACAGAGAAAAAAAAGAAATGAATGCAAAAACCCTTTAATACATCAAAATTCAATAAATACATTACACCATAAAAAAAGAGTGCAAAAACACTTTCAGCACAAGAAAAGCAACATAACATTTGCCACTTTACAGTTGTGCTTTGTTCATTTTTTAATACTTTTTTATCATTATCAATATTATTATTATTACATGCAGTGTGTGTGTGATCCCGTGATGTCCTCCAGATGAAGATTCAGTGGGAGTTCAAAGGGGATTTATATATGGAGTCTGTGTTTGTCAAGCTTGTTTCCTCTCCGTCACCCCATGCTGAGTCATTTGAACAATTCTGCATTTTTTTCTTTTTTTTTTTTGCTGACGTACACAGTTTGACCAAAGCCATTTGGGGAAACTTGTTTAACATCTGATGTTTGCATATCTACATGCCATTATACTATTTTGAATATTCTTCAAGAGTAAGCATGATGTCTGATGTTTACAGTCGAAGTCAGATTTATTAGCCCCCTGTATATGTTTTTTCTGCGTATTAGAAAGAATATTATTTTAAACACAATCTAAACATAATAGTTTTAATAACTAATTTGCAATAATTGATTTCTTTTATCTCTGCAATTATGACAGTACATAATATTTTACTAGATATTCTTCAAGATACTGGTTTTCAGCTTAAAGTGTGCTTTAAAGGCTTAACTAGATTAATTAGGTTAACTAGACTTAACTTAGTTAGTGTAATTAGGCAATCATTGTATATTGATGGTTACATACTTAACCATCATTCCCCAAGGGTGGGAACGGAAATGCTATGTGTCCAATGAAACATTGGAGGACATTGCAGCGTCCAGTGCTTGCACCTGACAGCAATATTAATCAGCTAAGTATAAACCTCTTAGTCACCTGGCGCTAAGCTCACTTGAGGCAAATTTACAGCTGTTAGCTAAGGAACAACCAATGTGGCGGAGACCACCTGCTACCCAACTGGGGAGATCCAGTGGAAGTGAGGACTTATGGCCTAACCTGTCCTAGTGCGAGCACATATATAAGGAGATGGTTAGCGGGAAGGGAAGACACCGGCCCGTCTTTAAGGACTGAACCATGCATATGGGATTGCGAACAAGCAAGCACCGAACCCCAGAACACGGGGTGACCTAGCAGGCATACCCACAATGGAGTCGGATGTTGGGGGCCTCTGAAGAACTCTGCAGGGTTCACCAAATGTGGAACTCACCTGAGCAGAGTAAAGAAAGCATGAATGTTTCAAATGTGTTTAAAGCATTAATGTGTTTGTGCTCTCATCTCTGGGGGACACTGGCACTGACAAATGAGGGCAATGGCATCCACAATCCAGTGAGCCAACCGCTGTTTAGATGAAGCACTTCCCTTCTGTCGACCACCATAACAGACAAAGAGCTGCTCAGAAGATATAAAACTGAGTGTGGTCCATAGATGATCACAGGGCACGAACGGGACACAGCAAAGAAAGGGCAGGGTCTGCCTCTTTCATTGGCAGTGCTTGCAGGTTCACTATCTGATCTCTAAAGTGTGTGGTAGGAACTCTGGGCACATATCCGAGCCAGGGTCTCAGGATAATGTGAGAGTAGGCATAACCAAATTCCAGGCACAATTTAATGACTGAAAATGCTTCCGTGTCCCAGACGTTCTTTATCAATGCCAATGCAACCAGCTGAGCCGTCTTCACGGGCTGAAATCTCAAGAATACTGGGGGTGGGAGTGGTGGATGCTGTAGGAACTTAAGCTGTAGGAATGAAAATTCAACGCTGATGTGGCATGTCTGAGGGTCTTCTCTGCGGGAAGTGCACCATTCAGTGAACAGACTCCACATCAGGGCATAGGCATGCCCTGTAGAGGGTGCTCTAGCCTGAGTGATGATGTTAAACACCGCAGCCGGCAGGTCACCTAAGTCCTCCACGCTCCATCTAAGTATCACACGTGGAGGTTTCATAGATCCGCGTGCTGATGCCAGATAGTGCTCTGTCCTGAAGAAACAAGGTTCATCCTCAAAGCGATCTTCCAGGGAGCGGCTGT